GGAGTTACAGGATAATAACCTGTCCCGAAATGGGACTCTAGGCTGATATCAGGACTCGGGAAGATCTCGGCTGGACAATAACCAGCCTGACAGTAGCATTTACGCTTATCCCGGACGCGCCAGACTTAATGGACAAATTTGTTTTAGAGTAGCCGGGTTGGGGTTGGGTTGGGTAGCCGGTTGGGTAAGCTTTCGAGCATTTCAAATGCAAATTTTTATGCAATATATATATATACAGCGTGTCGATACCATCGCGACAATAAATGAACACACATATAGGGGATAACTTTTTAAAGTTGTATTAAACATTTAAATTCTTTAAACATCAATATTTACAGAGTTATTAAATTTTTCAAAACAAAGAATTTTAGAACACCCTCGCGTATAAAATGCGTAACGTAAAGTTCATTTGTAAAGGTCACAAAGCATATGAATGGGTTGAATGAATTTAAAAGAGACAAAACATACTGTTAGAAGGAGAGGCTTGTAATGCGACGCTGTGGCGCGAGTTGTATAGGTGGTACAAATTTTGTCTATTTTTTACTTAATTAGTTTGTTTGAAAATTTTTTTTTTTATTTATGGATTTTGTTTAATTTTAATACTTTTTTTATGATTATTGGCACGTAGCGTTAGACGTGTGTTCATTTATTGTCGCGATGGTAACGACACGCTGTATATATATATATGTTGTGTTACTATGTTATGTTATTATAAGACAGTGTTTAAATAAATAATTTGCTGATTTAATAGTTACATTATTTTCTTTACGAACCTTATTGGCCTGTTACTTTCGACCCACAACGTGTTACTTTCGCCCTGCCTACGTGGTCGAAAGTAACAATTAACGATTTTTTTAAGTCTCTGCGATTCATATACTATAAAATGTGAAATGAATACATTAACGTAAAGAACATAAACGGAATGTATGTATGGATATATTCATTTCTATTAAATAATCACACCTAACCAGAGATCAAAGCAAAAGTACAAAATCGTACTTTTGTACCCAGTCTCCCCTAGCTATTGCTACGGGCCCCACGCAGAAGGGGGTCCCGCATATTTAAACCCACTTATCTCAGCTGAGTGAACCTTATAAAATAAGTAAGAATATGAAATTGTTTTTTATCACTTTATACTCAAGATCAAGAGCTGTTTGAATGAATTTGCTATGGGCCCCGCGCTTGCTTAATCCGGCCCTTATGCCTGGCTAAATACTCCCTGCTTTTCGATTTATGGGGGTGCTGGTGTGGGATCGCTTTACGTCTTTTCTCCTCCGGATTGTGTTGATCGGGGGCCGTTTGAGGATTTTTTTTGCTTTTGACCGACGAGGCTGCATGGACGTGTCAGTGATGAGCCCGGTGTATAAGCGCGCAGATTCCCGATGGTGGCGTCTTATACAGGGAGGTTTTTTGAGAAGTGCCCAAATTTACACAGGAGGTTCAGACTCGGTAGTATAATCGTATATAAAAAACAAAGTTTTTTTTTCAAAAAAATGCCATTCTATTACCTAAAAAACAGCACGTGTTGACAATGCGGTAGTCATTCATAAATACCTAAATTTTACTGTACACGAACTTGTGTGCGTGTTAGTTATGAATGATCGCGCGTAAAATAAATGAATTGCGTATAAATCACGCACTTTTTGAGATAACTTCAAATTAATGTAATTAATAACTTAAGAGTGATTTTAAATGTTTATCATTTTTTATATAACATTATTTAGGTATAGGACTTAATAAAAAAATGGATACACTTAGAAAAGCCAGCCTGTATAGTCCAAGACTTGATTGTTTTTTTTATGTGTAAAATGTTCTAGACTGAAGATGTTTAAGGACAGAATTTCGATCCTTGGTTTTCACGGATTATTTTAACAGGGTTAGTGGGTTACGTGCTATTGAAGCTCGAAACTGTCCGTGGAGCATTTGGCCTTCTCGTCGTTTTTAGCTCCGTGCCCAAAGGGTGTAACGGGACCCTATTACTAAGACTCCGCTGCATGCCTGTCACCAGGCTGTATCTAATGAACCGTGATAGTTAGACAGTTGAAATTTATGCAGATGATGTATTTCTGTTGCCGCTATAACAATAAATACTAAAAGCCAGATTAAAAAAATAAATGGCGACAGACCATGTAACAGACTTAACTTTTTGCAGTTATAGCTAATGGTACGGAACCATTTCTGCGCGAGTCCGACTCGCACTTGGCCGGATTTAAACTCGCTTTAGTCAGAATCTCAATCTAATCAATTTATGATGTTACGAATCACTTCAATTTAATAACTCTGATGTCATGGATGGTTTTCCATCTGAGTGAAATACTTAAAAGTAAAATAACAGCCTTCGAAATTTTTTTTGTTATTATTTATGCAGGTTTTCCTTCTGCTAAGCAAGTAATAAGTCATCACTTAAAAGGGAACAAATTAAAAGGGAATGCCCAGAGCATGAGCTATGCGTCTTGGCAAGTACTAAGTTCATTAAAATCATCATTAAAACGGAAACAATTGAAAAATAGAACGTAAATCTTTACTCGAAATTAGAATATACTTCTGTTACGAATATACAAAAGTTCATAACTTCTGAATCACCTAACCAATATCGAACGGACTTCGCATTATTTATTCTTTACGCCCAAACATATACTATATGTATGAAAAAGCCACCTCAATGCCAAGATTATCTGCCAGTCAACCTTGAACTTCGTTCACAACTAAACATTTTTACTTTTTAAATAGATACCTTGGGCTTTGTTTAGATCGTCGTCTGACTTGGAAAAAACATATCTTCACAAAACGAAAAGCACTGGTAATCCAACTAAGGAAAATGTATTGGCTACTGGACAAAAAATCACAGTTATCACTAGAAAATAAATTGCTTCTATACAAATGTATTTTGAAACCAATTTGGACTTGGGGGGACAGCTGCCAACTCAAACCTAGAAATACTTCAAAGGTTCCAGTCCAAAATGCTGAGGATAATAACTAATGCTCCTTGGTTTATAACAAACCAACAACTTCACCACAATCTAGAAATAAGAATAATACAGGAAGAGATTAAATTCTCTATAGAATCATACAAGAACAGATTAGACTCTCATCCAAACTCCTTGGCTTCAAACTTAATGAAAAGTAACTCAACATTTAAGAGCCTAAAATGAAAGTCCCCTAGAGATTTATAGGGAATATGATAAACAATGGGCACACGTCACTGGACCGACTGCCCTGCAAGACAATCTATAAATAGTTAACCTAATGCTTAATGTTCATAGAAACAGATTGCATTAATACAAACAAAAAATAAAAATTAATCGAAAAAATGCTAAGTTTACTATTAAAAAGAATTATAATCATGTTCTAGAAGAAATTCAAGTCAGTTATTATTTCAGTATATCAATTTTATGGTATTTTCTGTACATTTAGAATTGTTCTTTTCTGTAACATCATACGTCATCAGAATACGGTGCTGAACCTGATAAATCATTCATGGTTAAGACTGTACAGTTAAAAATTTAAATTGAAAAGTTTGTTCATATCATATCCATGATATTATATAAGATTCATATTGTGTAAATGCATCTCGTAATAAAATACGTTTCGTATGTTTTTTACAGATCCGATGGCGATTTATTGTAGATAAAATCTAGAACAGGTTTTCCATGTTCATCGCAGTTATAGTACTAGACTCGTTTAAAAAATAAAAATCAAAATTCAAATGTAAGCTCACAAAAACAGAAAAAAGATAAAACGTGAGCGAAAAATATACGACGATTAAGGCCTGTTAGAGTATAAAATTTACATTTGTGAATGATAAACATCGCTCTCTGCTACCGTATCGTGGAAAATAACCGTCAAACACGTCAATAATACATGTACAGTTTTGTGTAATGCATTAATGTGCAATGAAAAGTATCTTTAACAACCTATTCATGCTGCTAAATAATCATTACAACATTGAATTATTTTTATTACAACACCCTTAGTATTGTAAAAATAATAAACAAAAGCAATACACTGTATTTTTTGTATAGAATACTTAAAAAAAAACACTCTGAGGGGATGGAAATGATAAATATCGTGAAAAATCCAATAAGGATCATAATTTATTTATAAAATGATATATACACTTTACAATTGACCAAACAACCCTAAGAGCAAAAGGCCCATTATAGAATCCATTTTGTATAAATATTTAAATGCATTAACGAGTTTCCAAAGTGCGAAAATTTCATTTTTTTTAATATCACACAATTATCAATATCAAATTATATTATATGTATAATTTAAAGCATACAAATCAGGATTTCATAAAGGCCGATTACTCTACAGGTTGAATCATATGATGCATTAAAACATCCTACACATAAATTTATGCTCATTGGTAATTGTAATAAAACCTAATATGTACAATGTGCTATTTACAAACTTCTTAAACAATTTCACTGTCATTCTGCAGTAAAACATTTGAAATCAACCTTGTCTCATATTGCTTCGTTCCATTTACCACAATTCAATTAAAGGACAAAATGACAGAAGAAATGCTAGAGTTGAGCATATGGTAATGCAGATCATATATAAAAACTGTTGAGATTTTCTTATAATTAAGCCTATGAGAAATGAAACCACATTAATAAATGCCTGGAAGTCGATTCAGTGTCGAGATGTGAAATTGCATTACAAAATATTTTAATTCTCATTCATTCTCATCAAAATTGCATCTTTTTGGGCATCAACAATAGATAATACTGTCTTATCATCACACAAGCACAAGTAAAATTTCCTGTTATTGATAAAATATTCGACTATCCGTTTTGTTTAAATCAATTAGCCTATCAACAGATTACTCAAAGGATAATTTACTTCTAATAAAATTCACTATTACACTCTCTAGAAACATCTTGCAGACAAAATAATGTTGTTGTTCAATAGAAGTTAGAACTGTTTTATTGTGGTAAACAGCTATTATTATTTGCGTAAGTCATTTCTCACACATCAGACTAAAGCCACTAGCTGTGATTATTAGCATTAATGTACACGGAGTTTGTCATTCTCTTCACACTAACTGAGGCACTGTTCCCATTCTTCTCAAGACTCAATAAGAAGTCTTCTAATAATTTCGCAAGGCCCTTCCTTTTGAACCTCATTGACTCGCTTATTACATCACGAATCACTTCCTTTTTAATGTCCACACTACCCTTCAATTGCTTCAAGTACTCAAATAATTTCGTAAAATCTGAAACAATTATAAATTGAACATGTTACTTAAATAGTAAAATGTAGTAAACTACTTATGTACACTCAATATGCATTCAATTGCAAGCAATTGTAAATCTTACACAAACTTACACATAAAAAATACACATGCAAATATATATAACATCCTAAATATTTTCATTCTCAAAGAGCCAATATTTTTCATAAAAATGTCAAAATACCCGAAGAATGACTCAAGGCAAATGTAATATCCTCAACAACTTTCACATTAAATAATTTGCATCTTCACTTTCCCTTACATTCCAAACCTCAATGAATTTTTATGATTTGAGAAATAACCTCTAACATATATTTACATTAGATGGGTGAATAGTTCTACGCATTTCAGACCATATTACTTCAAATTACTGAAATCTAATAAGAGATCGGTCATTTGTCAAGGAAACTAAAAAAAGGCATTGTCTGCTGAAAAAATATTATTTTTAATTATAATAATTAATTATAATAATAAATATTTTGGACACATAATTATAATAAATATTTTGGACACATTTGTACACAACATTTTCTAGTCCCAAACTAAGCAAAGCTTGTACTATGGGTACTAGAAAACTGATAAACATACATAAACATACTTTTCTTTTGTAAATAAATACATATTATACATATAGAAACACCCAGACACTAGAAAAACACCATGTTCATCACACAATATTTTTCCAGTAGTGGGGATCGAACCCACACCCTCTGGCGTAGGAGGCAGGTACACTACCCACTACGCCATTCGGGTCGTCACAGTTTAATGGAAATCTCTTACATTCATAAGAATGCTATAAATCATTAGATACATTAATAACAAAAATTTGGGCAGTACTCAGTATTACATACACCCTTCATAATATATGTATGTATATAAAGTATTTATATATCTAATTGTAGCGGATCATCTAGAAATCACTACATAGTATAAAACAAAGTCGTCCCATTGTCTGTCTGTCCCTATGTATGCTTACATCTTTAAAACTATGGAACGAATCTTGATGCAGTTTTTTTACTGGATAAAGTGATTCAAGAGAAAGGTTTATATGTATAATACATGCATAATATATTGTGGAGTATATTTAGTATCAGCATTGCACCAGTTTTCGCGCAGCTGAGGCAGGTCATGAGTTGAAAGTAAAACACTAATGCCCGGTTTCTGAAACACTGATCAGAGTTTAACAATCCTTTTGGCAACTCATAATAACATTTGAAAAGCCATTTGACAGCTGATTAGTTAACTCCTACGACGATGAGTGTTTCAGAAACCGGGCTAAGTTAAAAATTTTGATGAGGCATTGTGTTGGTTTACAATCAAGTGAACTGCGGCCGAACTTACCTCTGCCGGGTCGACGTACTGCGCGGTACACCTCGGAGCGAACGCCGAGATTGTGCTTCCTGATGTCGGCGAGCTCCTTCCGCGACGGCTGAGGCGGCAACAGCAGCTGCACCGGCGGCTTTTCGTTCTGAAAAACGAACGTTCGAGGTTTAACCTCGTCCTGATTAGACGACGTATGGACTGCAGATAAGAACACAGACTTAATAATGAAATTCTACTAGCTTGCGTACAAGGATATAGTCATCGCACTTAAACTTTTAACATTTCGCTTATAAGTTTTTTGACCAATGTTTTGTATTGGTAGATAAATGAGTATTGTTTTATGGAAGAATCAAAAATTGTTAAATCCACAATGTTTTTTTTTATAGTGTTAACTCATAATATATGTTTGGACCACATAGTAGATTCTGCTGTTGCACAAATAAACAGAATCACATAGAAAACTGACATGAAGTAGAAGTGTTATATTTTTGTGTTTTATCTGGTAACTGAAGTTACCATAAAATAATTATAAAATATTGAAAATTAGCACACACAAGAAATTATTAATATTTTGTTATGTCACTTATCTGGTTATTTTTAAATTAACAGTTTTTTTTTTATTCTCTTCTCTAGGAAGAATAACTAGGAGTAATAATAACTATGCTCTTAATTTTGGTATGTCAGGTATGCACATAAATCACTTGAACTTCCAAGATAAGATGAAAACGCCATATGGTACTTTTTACATCATCACCTTAATGATAAGAGTGAAGAATTTTTGAATTGTCAATGATTCTTTAGTATTATACACTATTCTTTATATTATTATAAACAACTTGTCGGGCGGCAACATCGCGAAAAATGCATTGAAAGCTCTGGTTGCTTCTTGAGTTAATTTTTTCAATATTATTCTGTTGAACATGTCAGGCAGAGTATTTTTAAACATCCAGATGCACAGTTTCCAAGGCATTGGCTTTAGCATTGGGGGTTGTAGGTTCGATTCCCACACGGCTACAGACAGTTGTTTCGAATCTGGTTGTTTGTCCATGTGAAATTTATATATTTAACATATAATGTCATCCTAAAGTAAGGCAGTGTTTTAAAAAAAATAAAAATGCGTAATCAGGAGCAGCGGTCGAAAATGGTTTGGTTGAAACTTAGATTTAGACTTAGATAAACGAAAACGCACCTTTCGTTTCCGCTTCTTGCCGCGCATGTTGGAGTCGTTCTCTGCGGCGATGCCCTGCAGGATGGCGTTTATCTGCAGCTCCTGCGAGTCGTGCAGGGGCGCGATCGCAGTTACAGGCACACTCGCAACTGGCGGGTTGGGAGGGGTTCCCACGCCACTCGCAGTGTCGGCGGGCGGCGAAGGGGAGCGGGGCATTTTGCTGCCCATCGTTGTGTACGCGTCTGGAATTCGAAAGTGTTCAACTTTATGTTTTGGGAGCATATATAAATAGGTAATAAAGGATATGTTGACTTTTTTTTTTTGTGTCAAATAATTTCTGATGTCCATTTTTAATCTTTTTCGGTATATTTTTAAAGGTCACATTGTTTTTACATACCTCCATTGAGAAATGGTTTGACGACAGGCGGCAAATTAGTGGGCGTAGCTGGTGGAGACGTTACTACAGGTATAGTTACGGTTGAACCTCCAGTGTCCACATTTGGTGGCTCCTGAAACAAAACATTATTATGAAATTTAAATGTGCTAAATGAATAATCCTTAACCATTTTTGAATAATTGTAAATATGCAACAATGTTTAGAAGTTATTGAAATCTTCCCAATGTGATAAAAAATGTTACTTTGCAATGTAACATTTTTTATCACTTTATCTTAAAAACAGTTGACACAATGTTAGCAAAAATTTGTTTAAACACAAATACATTTTACATCCTTCAGTTTAATGAAAAAACATTATTATTCTGATGTGTTAAGTTCGTTAGAGAATGACCAGGGTGACACTTTCTTTTATTTCCAAGGAAGTATTCAAGCCTTACAAAGAAGAGCTAATGTGAAATGGAAGTATTATATTTCATACTCAGAAGTATTTTAGCCTAAAAGAAGACTGATATGAAATGAAAGTAGTGAAATGAAATGGATGCGGCTGAAATCAGAGCCCATATTCTGTAAGATATTTATAAAGCACCCTGAACACACAGTTATTAAAAAGCTCGTCATCTATTATGGATAGTGGAAGAATCCTGGCAGCAGACCAGAGGGTTATCTTCTGTATAAATTAATCAATTTAATAGTAATATACCTCCGGCGGTCGTCCGGAAGGCAGGTCCGACGGCACAGGCGCCAGCGGGGACGCCGGGCGTCGCGTGCTGACGGGTGACAGAGGGGCGGCGGGAGGCGGAGCGGGTGACGGGGCGACGAGCGGCGCGGCGAGCGGAGCGGGCAGAGGGGCAGACTGCGGGGCGGGGGAGGAGGGCCGGCGTGCCACCACGTGCTGCGGCAACGGTCCGGCCTTGCGCTTGGGCGGAGCAGCGCGGGGGCTCTCCGCGCCCCGCTTGCCACTCGCCCCGCTACCCCCGCCGCCTCGCACCGCCCCCATGGGGTCAATATCCGCCTCGTCCACCATCATGCGCTGTGAAAGGAAGAAATTTTGTTTGAGTGTTAATTTAAATACGTCAAGTAAAAGAGATTATATATGGTGTGAAAGAACCAAATTTAGTTTAGTTTTAAATTTAAATACGCCAAGTCAGAGATTATATAGAGACCGGCAAAAAACTTAAGCAACAACAGTGGGAAAAAGAATGCGTGTGTCCCAATATTATTTTAAAGCCAGCCATAAGTGCACCCCATAGTTACAAAAAAATCGATCAGACGGTTCACCTGATGTTAAATGAATACCGCCGCCCATGGACATCTGCCACACCCGAGGGTTACAGATACCTTTTGAAAATTGGGCTTTAAATCTTTTAAAACGCAAAAAAACTTTACGTTCAATTTTCTACAAATTAACTGAAGATATGAAACAATTCACAAATTAAAAGAATATTTACAATGTTGCTGCTATTTTGCAAGCTATTATAATCAGCTTAAGTATATTTATTATAGCAGCACTGTCAATATTCTCGCATTGTACAGATATCACATATGATCCAGTGATAACTATTATCTTCATGTCAAAATATCATATTGGAATAAGTTCCTGATTTCTTTTGTTTAAGAAAACAATAGATTTCATTTTAAGAAGAAATTAAATAGATATATTATTATTTTCTTCATTAAAATTATATAAAATGAAGTAAGATATATATTTGTGTATGTTGTACATAAAATGAATCAAAAGTAATTTATGCATTATGTAAATATAATTTATATATTTTTTACAAATTAATGAAAATTATTAGAAGAAGATTCAGCGTGAGGATAGTGGGTTTAATTCCTTAAAAGAAAAAATATTTGTGTGATACACAGTTGTGTTTTGGATCTACATGAAATTTATGTTTCTGAAACATACAACACACGATAATCTTATCCTACAGTAAGGTTTTTGTTAAAAATGCAAACAATATAAACAAAACATGATGTAGCAATAATGTACATGAATTATTATATATGGGTATAAAAATTAGTTAATCATACAAACATATACAAAAATACAATAAATAACTATCATTTAAGCTCCATTTAAAAAAAAGAATAAATACATTTAAAACTACTAAATAGCAGTGCTATCTCATACTGTTCTATTATTGGCATTCCCTGTGGGAGGCAAGTGTTCCAATTCTCATAATAAAGTCATGTCTACATTTGCTATTAATGGAATTTAAACAAGGTAGCATAGTGTATCTTTACACTATTTGAGAAAGATGATAAAATAATTTAGACATAAGTATACACAAAATTTAGTTAACAAATTGATTATTGTTTTAGAAGTTAAACAGTAATAAAATAACGAAAAATGTGGATGATTTTTTTATAAAATTTATACCAGTTGAATTGTTTTGATGAGTAAAATCTTAATATAAGTCAAGAATTATTAATTATACACTAACATATAAAAATTATTTATCTCCATGTCCCATATCTGTCATTTATTTCATTAAATAGTGTATTTCATTCTTATATTAATATAAGAAAAAAAGAGAAAACTGAATCCTTTTTTCAGAATATTGCATGCACAGTGTGAGATTTGACATAGTTAAAGACTATTATAACATGTGATATAAATATAAAATATATAATATTCATTGATTAAGTGCAAACAGTAAATTTCATACAGTTAAAGTCTCATGTCAAACTGATATATAGTGTTTTAAAATTTAATTTGTTTGTAAAAGGCAGATTGTATGACAGAATAATAACATATTAACATGTGTTGATTTATGAGAACAGTACACAGTTTGAAATGAAATGTTTTGGCCTTTGCATACGCCTTTCAAATTTTAATTAAAACTTTTAAAAGTAAACTTCAATCCTATTATCATTCAATCCTATAATCATTATTTCTAATAATGTCTATTAATAGAATAATGATTCTTATAAGAATGTTAAATACACTCAACACAGGAGGACACCATCATAGTTAAAAATTTGCCAACATACTCAGCCCAGGCTCTTTGTCTTTTGTATATTTAGGCAAGAAATTATGGCATTTTATTTATAGAAATAAATTACCACAATTTTTTGCCTAAACATTGTAAAATATAATAAAAGATTATAACCTTATCTATCTTGAATGGATTGCCGAACATATGTTGTCTGACAGGCTGTGACTCAATTTCCCGTAATTGAGGCGTCATTCTTTTAAGATACTCCTGATAGTTGCCCATTTGGGCAACTGGCATGGAATGAATGCTGTCCTCATCAACTAGCCGTGTATGCGCCAAGGATGGTTGTAAGAAATTAGCTCGCATTCGCACCACCTGAAAATTTAATGATTATCCATGAAAAACTAAAAGAAATGTTACAATGATATAACAATTTTTTTATGATGCAGTCGCAAAAAAGGAATAAGCTCTGATATTTTGTAAATTCTTTTTAATTTCTGTCTAGGCTTACAATTTGTTATGAATAATCATTTCAAGAAGCATTCAGTAGTCATCAATAAATTAGTTTAGACTTTCTTTTCTTTTTTTTTTTAAATAATAAGCCTGCAAAAGATTTGATTAAAATACCTGGTCCAATAGATCTCGCCGTTGTATATCAAAAGGATTCCTATACGTATGTGCCTGCGCCTTGTGTCGCCCACGCGATAGTCCAACAACAAAGCCTCCGAATTCGTTGAGCTGGTCGCGTAATGCACTAAACTTGTCTTGCAAGCATGGATGAGATGTCAGATCTTTTTTCAATGGCGATCTAGGCATAACACGAACACTTTCCGCCACCTACAAGTTAATATAATTATACGATTAGAATCAAGGTTACATAATAAATTAGGATATCTACAGAGTTAAGATCAAGAGACAATAACAAAGATTTCTTCTTTTTTCTAAAAAGGAATTGCCTATCAATTACTATTCACTATGAAGTCATCAATATTTCATCTTTATTAGTATGAACTCAAACAGTTTTTTAAAAGAAAGAAGTTTAAAAAATGTCACTTTTGCACAATTTGGGCTGTTATAGGGCCACATAACAACCTTCACTGTTGCACGATTGAGGCAAATGATACGTCCACACCCCTGGAAGGACCATAAGTGACAGAAGACCAGCGTGAAGTGGAAGTGTGAGGAAGTACAGGAGTTGAAAATCTTCATGGGCTAACATCAGGTGAAACACCAGCTCGTATGTCACATTCTCACAAAAACCAATCCTTTGGAAAAAACATAGAAGACCGGCATAGGGACAGGTTGAAGCTAGAAGTATCATTTATTACTATTGAGCTTTGTCTGGCGAGTGAGAGATTACCATGGGTGGTAATAATGACTTTTTATGATTCATTTGCTCTCGTGGCAATGTTTCACATAAAGATAACATTTAAATATTTAATATGTATTTGAAAAATATTTTCGTAATATCTTATCCTTTAAACGAGCAATTCTTGTATATATATATATATATATATATATATATATATATATATATATATATATATATATATATATATATATATAATCGGATTCTCGGAAACGGCTCCAGCAATTTTGTATGTCGTTTCGGGGGCTAGAAATCGATCTAGCTAGGTTTCATTTTTAGAAAATGTCCTTTTATCTATGTTTTCAGGGAATGAAAAATATCATTCGAATATGACAATAAATTTCGCCGCAAAAAAATGTTATAATAGCTCGGTCGGTAATCGGGCGGCCCCAAAACAGACGGCCGCGGTTCGTATCACGATCATTCCTATTCGCAAGTAGCATTAGACGTGTGTTCATTTATTGTCGTGATGGTAACGACACGCTGTATATATATGGAAGATAAATCTATTGGATACAGTTATTCAAGACATTGAAAGTATAACAATTGACTACCAGTAAATCAGAATAACATAATTTTAACTCTAAATAATTGAATTATGTTTTGACACAATTTTTATCTAAAGTTAAATCATTATTATAACTCTGTCCCTGTAATGGCATCACCACAATCCAATCTGTGACTAAAAAGATGACCATGGTTGTGAAGTTTTATCAGATAACAATTTGTTATTTAAGTAACTATTTCAATATAAAATTTATTTACCTTTTGAGTATTCCCTGAAGAAGCCTTGTTGATAACGTCTGCGCAAAGCTTTTCAAATTCCATTTTTGCTTGATTTTTCATTCTCTTCAAATAATTGAGTACAGAAAAGCTTAAAGAATTGTCTTGAGTATCGGGAATCAGACTTTGGACTAGTGGAGCGGATGCTCCCATTTTAGTCAGTGCTTTTCGTAAAGGCTAAAATTTGGGAGAAAAAAAATATATTTTATTGTTTGGAAGCTTCAATTATTTTAAAAATGATCTTTATCTGAACTAGAAATAAAAACTATAAATGTAGATGTTACACAGGATAAACTTACTGTTACATAATATGAAGGCATTCTATCTAAATACTGCTGAAAAGCCAACTTCCACTCCTGAGTTGGTTTACATCTATGAATTTTGAACAAGTCATCGAGCAAAGGCAAGAGGACAGGATAGTTGTATGGTAGCACAAACAAGTTGACACAGGTGAGGTTTGTGGATGCTTTGAGGTAACCAAACGGATGACTGACTTCAGAATTTTTACACCCGCTATTTGCTACAAATACCTGAAATGCATAAAGTTACCATATTGCAACTAGTTTCATATGTTTGAACTGAAATTAATATACAAGACCCAATTGGCGTAGTTGATTGTGACCCAACGTGTGTGGTTTCTTGCACTAGAGCATGTGGGTTTGATCCCCACTGGGTGGCGTCTGGGTGTTTATAAATCTATACGTATTTTTTTACAAAAGAAGCTACAAGCTTACCCATAGTACAAGCTTTGTTTAATTTGGATAAATTTGTGTAAAAATGTCCAAAAATATTTATTTATTATTTATATACAGAGTAAATCTCTGTACTCACCTGCCAACATATGGTAGGTTGTTTCCTTGCTAATATAAATTGTGTCAGAGGGCTTGGCTCTAATTCATATTTATCAAAAGGTAAATTGTCTATCACCATAGGCTCCTGGCTTGAGCATGTAAATTTTACAACTGGATGTGCTGAACGTGGTGGCTGGAATAATTTTAAGTAATAATTAGTAAAATTCTAAATATAGTAAAAAATTACATAGAATTTAAACATATAATATAATAAACATTGAAATCATGAAACGAATTTTGAAAATTTATATTTGTTTGAAGATTTCTCCATGTTGAGTTTAGTAAATAATCTTGTTGGTAATAGTAATAATGGTTGTCAGATATATTTATAAAATCAACTTTTGGTTTTTCAACTTTCAAACTTCAATATAATTATGAAATATTCAAAAACAAAGTATTAACTCATATACTCACAAGCGAAGGTGCATTAGGATCAGGTCTAAAAGATTCTGGTATGGGCCAAAATCCAACAGAAAAACCTTTTTGATAAACTGTGCGTGGAACATAAATAAGCCGACGACAAGAGTGCCAAGCCTGTGGAGCACCGGAGCTTTGGTTTGGGATAGTATTGGACTGATATGATCCTCCATTCCATCTCTAACAAAAAAATTAAAACATATATTACATAGAATTTACCATGACACACAAAATTACAGTAAAAAAACTAAAATCTTTCTTTGTGTATTACATTTCTAAAGTTAATAGTAAATAAGGTTAAACACAGAAAAAAATACAAAAAAAACTAATCGCTTTAAATATAATGCAGCTTTATTGTTAGTTTAAAGTCTAAGTCAAAATTATAGTACCAACTGTTCACTAATTAAGACCTATCCAGAAAAGAACCAGCAAAGAATTTTATGGTTTTCTTAAAGCTTACTATGGAAACACTTACTCCATTTCTGTCTCCTTCACCATCCATTTCTTTGTCAGCTTCATGACTAATATCATCAATTTGTTCAATTCCATCCCTGTTGTTGCTACCATCAATTGGTGGTGGATCAGGACCAATTTTCTCGAAGTTAATAACTACACCACTTTGCACTTTCTGTACTAAACTGTCAATGCACTGCATAAGCATTCTATGAGAAGTAATGCAGTAAGATCGTCCTATAAGAGATATATTAAAAGAATAATACAATTGTATATGCAAAAAGAATAACTAATACAAAAATTGACCAAATTTAATTTTTGTAGACAATACAAAATCAAAGCAAATTGGAACATTTTCACAAACAAAAGTAAAAATAAATTAACAGAATATTTGTCAGATGCTTACCTCCTGTTACTTCACACATAGCATCAATAGGTGAAGAGTCAGAAGGTACTAAACCAGTATCTCTCTCAACTGCAGGTGTGCCAGACAACCTTAGTACTAATGAAAACAATCTTTGGTCCCATCTAAATGGTTCTCTAGTTAGTTCTGAACCGGGGATAGGGCAGTTCATTGGCAAATTGAACTGAAAAAAGAAAGCAGTTAATAAATATAATTTTGTAAACATTACCTGAATTAATAATTTCTTGCACAGAACAATACAAAATTTGCAATTTTATAATAAAACATTATTAAATGTGATGACAGAGGCCAGACTGTTAATTTACCCACTTAAAACCACAAGATAAGATATGGCAAACATTTTAATTTTAAAGCCACTAAGTTAAACTCTGGTCTGTTTTTTAATGAGTGAGATATTTACATGTTATACTTGAGAACACAATAATATGCTCACATTCACCATTACTGCAGCTATAAAACATAATAGCATTATTTCATGTTGAAGTAAAACATTTTTATTATTGTAATTCCAAAATTCTGAATTTCTAATAAGAAAAAGTTAACTATATATTTTTAATACATAATAGGAGGATAAAAATATAACTCACTTCTTCCTGAATACCAGCATTGCTAGAAAGTTTTCCTCCATCGGTAATAACAACTATTACTGAGGGCTCAAGGTAAAATGGGCATCTACCTTGACCATATGTATCAATACCAGTTTGCATGCGGTTTATGTTTAGGACATCAAATGCATGTTTCAATGCAGCACCCATAGTTGTTAACCCAAGGCACTGCAAGTTCTTCAACTCATTGATAAATGTCCCTAAGTTTTCTTTCCAACCCGCCTGTAATATTTATTTTTAGAACAGTAAGTAATCAAAATATACTCTTATTAAATAAAAACTAAACTTTAATCTTATAGACCAATGCAAAACAAAAGAGGCATTTGTATTTTGTCGTAAAATTGAACTATCGATAATTTCATATTTCCCCCCAATTCGCCATTTCGTTATGATTTGTCTCGACCAATAGGAGTGCGACGAGAACGCAGTCGCGAGCGCTATCGCGAAGGCAGCAACGGCGGTGAATCGTCCTGTTTACGTCGTGCTGTATATTTCAGTAAATTTCGCACAATCAAAGTATGTAAATGGTCTAGATTGCAGATAAAAGTGCCCGACATATGGACTACCTAAACGGCGCTACGATATTACTCGATGCTTCAATCACAAGTAAATCTAGCAAAAACGTGTTTACTCTGATATACTAACCTTGATGTTCGCGGGTGGCTCTTCGAAAGTTAGAAGCATATACCTATCACCTCTGCTTTCAGGAGATCGTTGACGAACCTAGGACATGAAATTCATAAGTTCCAACACACTAACACCCCGATAAACAAATCGATCACAAAAATTAAACGGTTGAAGAGTCGATGACACTGCACGTACCTTTACGAACGTTTCCACAGCGCCCTTGGCTACATCGAGCAACGTTGGGCGTCCGCCCAAATAAGCTCTTTGGTTCATAGAAGCTGATGTATCTATTAAAAAGACTATAATAGTCATCGTGAAAATTTTCCTAAATATCCTAAATACATTAAAATATGCGCACGCTATTATGAACTAAGAACAAAAATGGCCGCTACATTGTACGCAGGCTCGCTGAGAGGCGACCGTCCGACAGCCGCTTCGACGAGCAGCTGAACAAGCTACGCCACGAAGACTCCAAAAGTACCACGTGACCTAATCATACGTTCGGTTATTCTCGGCCTCCAATAGAAAAACGTTCGGCAAAGATCGTAGCCTAGCTGCAGTGTTGCCACACTTTACTTAGTTGCCTCCCGAATGTTGTAAAAATAAAACGAGTGAAAAAAGCTTATTAATTAGATATTTTAATTTTCTCTAAACAATTTTCAATGTCATTTGTAATTAATGTCTTACATTTGCGTTTTTAACGCGGACTCAAAACATAAGAGGACTATAATATATAGGATAGTACACCGCTAAAGGTCTTTAGCAATTATTTTAGACGACCAATAAAGCTCAAGTTACAGCATTAACCTCGGAACATACTTAAGAAAAAATAATTCACGTTCGTAGTCAATTTTTTACGAAGCTTGGTTTTTGCTTAAATTTAAGATATTTGTTATAGTAACTTCTGCATAGTAATATTTATAATAATATTAATACATAGGATGTTAAATATTAAGGTATGTCAATATTATATATCTAATTGATAACAACGCGCTAGAAGATAGAATGTAGCGAAAAAAACGGGAATATATTTACTTATAGCAACCCTGCTTAGTAAGTATGTGTAATAAATACGTAATGAAACGAATGATTCAATTTATAATTCTTTTATTAAATACACTACATTTATCTTATTAATTCATTAAATAATTTTGTAATAACAATAAAGACCAAGAAATCCTTTCTTACTGCACAGATTTTACACTTTCAATTTAAAAACGACATACCACTTGAAGGCGGCAATTTCAAATTATTGAAAAATTTTTAAACATAGACAACATTGAATTCATTAAACTTAATAAATGTAATTATTGTTTTGAGAGGTGGGTCAAAAGAAGGATATAGTAAATTATTTTATTTGAACTGCTCAAAAATACCATGTTTTTTACAATTGCGCCCAGGAGCGATAAATAAATCCTTTTTTTTTTTAATTAAAGTAAGAATAAATGGATAACAAATAAAGAATGATTAAGCACTTAATCATTCTTTATTTGTTATCCATTTATTCTTACTTTAATTAAAAAAAAAACAGAATTTTCTCCAAACCCAGAAAACGTACTTACTATAAAAAAATATTTGAACCTTTCGATAGTACGTGATTCACTATGCGATTTGATAGGATTTTTTTATATGTAATGTCGGGAAACATCTTCTCTACTTAGTAAAGCCAATATCGCTGTTTTCATAATATGTGGAACATTACTATGACACATTTTACTGATAGTGGTAAAATTAGAAAGCTGAGATGTGATGGGTGGGCTTATAACGATACGTCTGTTTCACTAGTTTTGTTACAAATTTGTAAGTACAAGACTCCATATAAACAGTGATTAAATTTTATCTTAACTGCATTAGTTATGTAAAAAAATTATTCACTTTTACATTATAATTATGATTACACAGGCGCGAATCTTCCATATTTATCTAAAGATTGAAGAGAGTCAGAGGAACGTTGGGACGTATATATAGAAAATAAAGTTTCCTATGATAATTCGCTAATTATTAAAATATTATTATCCGCTAATATTATATTCGCTATTAATAAAATAAACTATACTATAAATAATTCTAAATGTTTTATATGTTTAGGTCGTGATAGAAATATTTAAGATTTAAGTAAGGAAGCAAGTAGTACCTTTCAAAACAAATATAACCAGTTTTAAAGGGGCTCTTTTAAAGGGGTTAGTCTCTTACCCCCTCCCTATAACTGCACGTGATATTTGTGACCTATGGAAAATTTCATCCCATTCTGACGTACCCATGGCATTTTGTATGAGTAGTTCATAGCACGGAGTAATATTAGTGGTAGGCATCAGTTATTTATGTGTCTTGATGTGTTTTATCTTAGTTACTTTAAATTGTAGTACATCTATGTCTGAGTTTGTCTAATTAACTAACGACTAAACTCGAGATGTTCGTGGTATCACCGAGTCAGAATGTATTTAAAATGTACTTAACCGGATGGGTATGATGAAAGACGTACTGAAATATGATCAAAGGGGCAAGTATTTAGGTTTCTCCGTTTGATTTGTTTCTGCATTGACATGTTTGTTTTTTTTTTATGCGAAAAGTTGTCAAACCAGCAGACGGTTCATCTGATGTTAAGTGAATACCGCCGCCCATGGACATCTGCTACACCCGAGGGTTACAGATGCGTTGACAACCTTTTGAAAATTGGGCTGCGGCTACCTCACTCACCAGACGAAACTCGAAAATATTTGTCATACTTCCACTTTACGCTGGTCTTCGGTGAGGTCGTGCTACTTACCCGGATGGGCCTGCCCATTCGTGTAACAGCCGAGGCTGCTTTATGGCCCTACCACCGTAATTGTTCGTCAAACATTTATGAAAGAATAAGTTCTTGAACCTTGTAGTTCAACAGCCCATGTCTACTAATTACATAGTAAACCATTTTTAAAGTATGCTCTACACTAATAGGTTTGCATTTACATAAGTAACATTATATACCCTTAATTTATGCCAGACTTTGTTTAGGACATGGCTGTTCGCCGTATGAGCCTTTCCTCGCCTAATAAAGCAAAAACAATAGACAGTGGTGCCTATTTCTAACACAAAAAAGTCGCTTGCTGTTTTGTTCTTTAAATAATCAGAGGATTAGGTTGAGAGCAAGCTGTTTGATCTCGTGAACGTAGTTTCGTTAAGATACTTAAATGCACTCGACATATTTTGTTATTGGGAGAAATGATTTCTTTCAGGGGTAATTTTTTGGAGTCGTAGATCAAAGAAGCAGAAAAGAATTTGAACTTGTTTTTAAGCTTACAATTGTATATAAGTTACATAATAAAATAGCTTCTCTATTAACTTGTACTATCTACGTATACATTATATATGTTGAGATTTTCTAGTAGTAACTTCTCAGCGTTCAAACTAATTTAATTTATTTTATGTGAAAAATCGGCAAGCGAACAGGTGGTTCACCTGATGTTTAGTGATTTGATTTGTTGACTGTGGCTTATGGACATTTGCCACGGCTGACGCAAATGCGTTGTAAACCTTTAAAAAGTGGGCTCAATTATCTCGTTCACCAGTCGAAATGTGAAAGTATGTACTATACTTCCACTACACACTGGTCTTATGATAAATCTCCTAATCTCGTACGCCTATTTTTCTATTTTTAGAAAATAATAATAAGGTTTTAAGACATAATTCCCAGTAGTTAGTCTGGTTGCCACTTGTTTTGCCACTGCTGTTTTGGTAGTAAACATTAATTAAAAGAAAAAAAAAGATTTCTGTTTTGTTAAAATTATGCACAATAAGCAACTTTTCATGAAATAGATATGAAATATACGATAAAGTATAGGGAAACGAGTTCAGTTTCGGTGGATCATAATGGCGTCTGAAATAATTTAAAGCATAAATATTTTAAATTACCATTCATAAATCGATGCATAATCGGTGATTCGCGATTTGGAGCTGCATCCAAAATTAATAATTTCATTCGATAATTACAAATATACGGTACTGTGAAACTATTAACCTAACCTATTAACTGGCTCTATATCAATAGATAGTCCCAGTAACTTTAATGACCGAGATATTACCAAAATACGTGACGAATATGGTCGTATCTTTTGCTTGCATTGACATAAAGCCATAAATTGTTTACATCGCCAAAAGAATTTAGACTAGAAATTGTCATAAACTTGATCGTCCCACTCGCCCCTAAACTAAAAGGACCTTAAAAGATAGACCAAGCGATTGCATAATGTTCTTTTTAACTAATGAAATACGAAACACCTCTAATTTAAAATAATTATTATATTAATTTTTAATAACTTAGTTATATTAATCTATTTGCTCTTTATAAGATTAAATATTCCTTTAACATTGGCCCTATGTGTGAAATACAAAAGAAGTTCTAATGCCTTTTATTTGACAGAACATACATACTTACTTTTACATTTTTAGATGCTTACGGAGCCTTGTAAACTCGATTACGCTGCAGTGCGGTTTTCTTATATTTGTACTTTCACGTTTAAAGAACGCCAAAGCTCTCACGACAGATTACATTCATTAGAACATTAATAAATGAAATATGATTAATATACTTTATCTTAAAACGACAATTTTTTAATTCACTTATTACACTAACTTTTTGGTTGCAAATCCCACATAGCTTGTAGTTAATAATTCCTAACAAAAACAGCGGTAATAAGCCTCTTTCCACTCAGTAAAAATGTGTTTATCATGCATGGTGAAACATAGTTCTGAAAATTTTTAATGCAAAATTCTTACTGTGTCATGTCGTACTTTTTGTTTGTAAAAAAGACTACAGTTTGCAAAAAAGATAACAGTTTCATTAAATAAACGGGAATTTTTTGAATGTCAAAAACTTGTTATAGGCTTATTGGTTGCCATCGATTTGCAACCACCTTCATCATATCACTTTTTGGCTCTCTGTGTGCGTGCGCATCGTAAATACTTTAATCGACATATTCTTTTCCAAACGCACAAGAAGAAAAATAACTTCTAAAATATCTGATAATTTGTATCTTTCGCAAACAGTCCAGTATCATATAAAGATCGAGAGCAAATGTATTTCGCTATGAAAAATTTCCAAAAAAATTAAAAACGAGTGTGATTCAGACCACACTACTGAAGTAAAATTTCCTTAGCTCCAACTTATAAGTTGGGGAAAAGGCATTTCATATGAAAATTCAAAACATTTTTTAATAAAGTTTATTTATATTTAACTAAAGTATGTAGGTGCCACTTTGTTCGATAACTTTCTGCCATCTTGTAGGTAGCGACAT